AACATTTAAATTTTATAGCATTCCATACTCTTGGTTGTAAAAGAAAGTGAATATGGGGAGATTTAGTACAAGAACAGCAAGAGTACATTGTGCAGTTTGATACTAGTCAACCACGTACAGGTAGGCCTGTTCTGTTCTACCAAAACACCATGCTTCTGTCCCAGGGCTTACAGGTCCAGCTTTCTTCACCTAGAATGTTGTACTCTTTGCCTAGCCAACTCCCGTCCAGCCTTAGACCTCAGTCCAAATGTTCCTTCTCCCCAGAGACCCATCAGGACTGCATGTGCGTGTGCCTGCTCTGCTTCAAACTTTCAAGGGAGCTGGGTTTGGAGTCTCCGATCACGAGGAAGTCTTGGCACAGGTTTACTGAATTGGTCATGTCTTTGGATGGAAGATTGCTGAACAATTGATTGTCACCAACTTTGTAGCACATATGCTGCTAATGGATATCCCATTGTGCTCTTAAAGTAAATGCCGAGCAATGTGAGGAGTCAGGAGGAGAGTGTACTTTGCAAGTGGTGTATAGACTGAAGGAAACTGGAAGAAGCAAGCAGTGACAAGGGCCAAGTGTGAGAAGCATAGTGCCCAGGCCACATGGACATTTCCCCTCTGGTGGTAATTGAGCTCCTTGGCGGCTCTGGTTGCCAGTGAATTCTCACGTTTACAGTGCCTCAAGGTAGACCTCACTCAAAGCCAGCAATCCCTTTCCATTTTCAGAAACTTAGTCCACATAATTCTGAAATCCTGAAGTAGGAAATTGTCCTTGAAAAACATTTTTGTTGTAAAAGTTACTGTTCCTGGTATAGGAAGTTTGCTCTAGAAGTATAAAGTGAGAAATAAAAAGTCCTGAGTCCTTTCCTCTATTTTCATATGTGTTAGCATCTTTTTGTTTCCCTCCTGTTGTTGCCTTTTGCCTCCTCTTCTTACCTTTTGTCTTGTGTCCTCCTTTTTAAAACAAATTTTTGGCAGCACTTGAACTCAGGGCTTCACACTTGCTAGGTAAGTGCTCTTACCACTTGACCTACTCTGTCAGCCATAAAAAAAAATTTTTTTTTTTGAGTAACTATGAATGATAGCTCAGTGGCAGAACACTCTGCCTAGCATGTGCAAGGCCCTAGGTTCGGTTCCCAACCACATCATTGTTTTGAAATGAGCGAATGTCATCACGGATCTGTTCAGCAACATCATTTATGAACTCAGTAACATGGCTTGGGCACTTTCCCACAGCTACACCAGAGGCAACTTATTTTAGCCTGCTTCCTTGATAGACATTAGGATTGTTTTCCAGATTTTCAGGGCTTTTTTGTTTTTGTTTTTGGTGTGTGTGTGTGTGTGTGTGTGTGTGTGGTGTGTGTGAATCACACTACTGTAATGTGACTTGTAAACAATCTCCTTGTAAAATGTTTTTATTACATGCATCAAAAAATCTCAAGGATCTAGTCTTGGAAGTCAGATTTCTGGGACAAATTGCATGGATTTTACATTTTGGGGAGAAAATGCCACTGTTCTTCAAAGATTGGTACAGAATGTGCAACTCTGCAGGTGTATTTGAATGCCTGGCCCCTTGCTCTTGAAAATGACTGTCAATCTGCTGTTGGTGTCTTTTTTTGGTTTCTGGTTCTTTTGTTTTGAGTGGGCTTGGAGATACTTTCATTGGTCATTCTTTTATTCTTGGTGAATTATCTATACTTGTTGCCCAGGTTTCATTGGGTTGTTTGTCTTTTCCTTTGTAATTTTTAAGAATTCCATCCATATTAACATTGCTATAAATATTATCCTGTTCATCCTTTGTTTTCTGTGTGGTTAGTTGGTTCATTTTTGCCTCTTTTTAAAATCAGTTGTAACTTTCTTTTTTGGATTTTAGGTTTTACGTCATCATTAATTAAAGTCCTTCCTGTGCTTTAAATGTATTTTTGAAAATTTAATGGTGCCCTGAAATATTTTTATGGCTGCATGTTTTTACTTTAAATATGGTGTATCAGAAATGTATTTTGGCTGAAGGTGTACAGATAGATCCAGCCTGATGTTTTCCAAATGCTTGGACATTGTCTCCACAGCTGTTTTTGAGCACTTGACTCCCGTAGAATTCTTACATTTGAGATTTTGTGACTGGTAAATGTATGTGCTTAGAGTGGCACCCAGATGTTGAAGGACAAGTTGACTTGTGTGCGACATTGCAGGATTCTGACAGAAGTTCTGCGTGGGTGAAGAGATGAGAGCTGCACGTGTCAGCCAGATGTCATGGAATCTGCTGGGAGCAAAAGGCCCACTTTTGATGAGGGGCTCCAGAGTCAAGGCTGAAGGTCCACCCCTCCCTTGTGAGGCATACTGCTTCTGCAGAAGAGCTTCAGTTTGAACTACAGAAGCAGTTTTCATGAGAATGTGTTTGACACTGGGTATTGTTTTTATGGAAATTTGATTCTGTAATTTATTGAAATTTAGAAGTAGCTTTCTAGAACTTACAGATCCTATTAAGTGGAAGAGTTCGTTTTCACATATCCTAAGCAACAAATGGAGTTTTCTATCAGTGTAACCTGTGTCTAAGTATACAGTTAGTAAATTAAAATGTGTCTTCAGAGTATTAAAATCTCCTTTACTATCAAAGGTGTCTAACAAAGTGGAATCAGTGAAAACTGTAGAATTGGAACACTGAGGAACTGTCACAGGCATGTTGGTGTAGGCTGTAGCTGTGTAACAGACACAAAACTCTCAAAAGTAAAAGGCGGGGCCGGGGGGAGGAGTAATGCAGCTGTGATTGTAGCATGGAGTGTGTCACAGATTTGGGAGCCTCAGGTTGGTAAAATAATTTACCAAGACTGAGTAGGAGAAAGCAAAGATTGAGTAGGATGCCACTGAAAGGGATAGAATGGCAGGCAGCTGTGCAGAGGAGCACAGCATGCAGAGAGGATTGAATAGGTCTTATACCTCAGGTTAGGTCACTTTTGATTGGCTGTCTCCCTTTTTGTGGACCTTACTGATTGTCTCTTCCTGGGATCATAGTTTGAATTTCATGCACAGGGACATCTCTTCAGGATTGGCTTAATTTCTGAGGTCCATCTGGGTTCCTCAGTGGACATGATCTATTTCCCACTTCCCACCTGTTGCTGGATACTCCTTGTCTGCCAGGTCTTCTTAAAATGGGGGCCCTCCTCCACAGACTGGAGACCAGACCTTTGAGGACGTGAATAAAGCCTCTTGGCTGCTCTTGTTTTTTGATAAAGAATGATAGCAATTATGAGTTGAGAAGAGGTTCTCTCTCTCTCTCTCTCTCTCTCTCTCTCTCTCTCTCTCTCTCTCTCTCTGTCTCTCTCATTGATGCAGGGCAAAATTGGGATTTTTAGGTAAGCAAATGTTTAAGGCTTAAAGTTGAAAAAGTATACCTATTAGTAATGTTTTCTCTGAAATGTATTACAGACTGAAATGAGCAGGGCTCTGGGATACACACAGTGAAGGAGAAAGGATGGGCTGCTTTTATAAATACTACCAGCACGCAGGTTTCCTTGATCACAATTTGAATGTATCAAAACATAGAACTTATAGAACCACCATTTGAACATGGGCAGGAAATGAATTTTCCAAGCTTCTATTTGCTTGAAACCTGGATAAGACCAGAACCTAGATAGACTCAAACAGCTCTCTTAAATATTTAAACATAAATTACAATGTATTATAATGTATATAAAGCATAGTTTTGAGACCTGTGAAGGTCATTTGTCTAGATACAAGTTTATTTGGACTCCATGAAGAATTATGGAAGATGCGCCAGCTCCGAAATGAGTTTATTGCTCTTGTTTTAAGAAGAAGATAGGCTTAAATTGAATCAGGAATATATCTTTTGATTTTTGGACGTTTCATATTCCCACAAGATTAAAAACTTCCATTGGTATACATGGTCTGAGCAGGAAATGCAAATCATTGAAGAATAATGTAGGTATACACTGTACTTGGCAGTTTATGTTACATTTATTTTAATGGGCATATATAAATGGTATAAAATTTTGTAAGATGTTTGTGTTCTGTATACTATAGCCAGGGCCAGTTCGTTAGGTGTAACTTTGACAGTAAAATTTCTCAGTTATAAATTACTGCTTCAGTTGAATGAAGTCATTGTACATTTGGTGATTTTTTTAAAGGTAGTTGGCTGGTTTAATCTTTCAAAATAGTCAGAGGGTTTATGTTTCGGAACTTCTCCAGTTGAAAAACTTTCGGGATTAATGCAGAAAACCGAAGCTTGGTATTGAAGAGACACACGATGACTTGGCGTCAGTTACATGCAACAGAAAGATTCAGGGTTGTAGGTGGCTTTTCTCTCAGTCCTGCAGTCTCATTTTGTTGTCACTTAACGAATGCTATCTTCTGGTCTCTGATGGAAACAGCAGTCTACCACTGTCTGTCTCTTAGCATCACAGCCCAGACTTGAGACACAGAATCGGAACCAGACACCTCAGGTTCCAGGCCTCCCAGTGACGGTGATACACTGTCTGTTGCCCTTGGCATTGACTTCCAGCACTTTGAAATACTCAGTGTTGGTTGAAGGAGTGAGTGTCTTACTTTGGTTGCAGAAGCAAGATAGTTTTCATATAGTTGCAGCATTGCTGTTGGAATTAGGCATTCTGAATACATAGAAATATATTTCTTTGGACTGGACCATTGTTACATCTTGGCATTACACTTTGCTTTCTGGCCCTGGTTATATGTGTGTGCATACATATATGTGTCAGAATGTTTCATTAGTGATGTTCTATTGAACTATAAAAGTAAATGTGTCATAATCATAGGAAACCAACAAAAATCTAATATGCAATTAGATTGTCATATTACACCCAATGGCTAACAGGATTAAAAGGACATCTTTCCATTCAAAATTGGGTTGTGACTCTATGTAGAAATGTGTTTTCATTTTTCTGTGATAAAAATGGCTTCTGACATTGTATTTTAGTGTCATGTTAGAGATTTCATTCCATGATCATTTGTTCATTCACATGTATTTTTATTTTTAGCTCTAAGTGAAAGACATGAGGCCTCAGCTGAAATGAGGTGGTTTTGAGGTCATCCGATTTCTGGCTAGAAGTGTGCGGTCAACTCGTCCTGAAACCACTTCACACAGAATGGTAATGGCAAAACCTGAGGGACAGAGAGAGCCTCAAGTAACCATGTCTGTTCTTATCCCAGGGTTCCCCTTTACAAGCTGTAACAGATCTTTCAAGACAGGAATAAAAAGCATCAGTATGCTGATGTATTTCTCCTAAATTGTTCAGATGTTGAACAAGAGCATTCATAAACCATGGTCTAATCCAGTCTTTTAAATGTGTTAAACACAGTGTTTTTTAATGAGCTCTGTGAGCTACTTAACTAGCAACAAAATATATACCATATTAAAAAAAAAAAGTAAGCCTCTGGAAATTAGAAGATTGAAATGATTTGTTTATTTGAAAATGAGTAGGGTTTGCTCCTAAACAAAAGGGAATCTAAGTGTAATAATTTTTTCCAGACTGGAAAATAAGGATCTTGCCACAATTTTTACCTAGGATGAAGAATTTTGATGTTTTTTATATTTGTGGATGTGCTTGCTTTACTTTTCAAAATGGAAAGTGTTACTGAGAATCAGCTAACTCTGCTTTAATTATTAAATTATATGTAAAATACATTTTAAAACTGAAGGTAATAACATTTTTTTTTCATTATAGTAAACCTTTTTGGGTGTGCCTTCTCTTCATTTTGAAGTTTGTTCTGATGGACCGTGTCCAGTGAAGTGTGTTGGTGAAGCAGTGCTTGCAGAGCACGCATTGGGCTTAGCTCCCCAGGAACAGAACCTCAGTAAGGTTCTTTGCTCAAGTTCAGATTTTATAAGCCTTTAGTTCAGAATAGGTAGTTCTTTATGTTACCTCATTTCCTGTACGTGTTACAGCTAGCATTAATAGCAAAAATAACACCACAAATTTATTTCTTTTTAACCTAAATTATGTATTTGTTTACTTGATGAGATGCTGAGAACATTAAATTTAATCCAGAGCTGGAGGGTAAATACACAGAAAGCTAATTCCAAAATCTATTCAGTGGACTGTATTTTTTTTAAGTTATGTTTATTTCCATGTTTTCTTTTAGAGACTCACTTGTCACAATAATTCTATGTATTGCCCCATTTCTCTGCAGTATTTCCTTGTCCCTTAATCTTAAATGTTAGAGTGACTTAAAATTATAAAACTTGTCTTTTTTCTTCATGTATGTGACATTCTATAATGATAGGGACAAGTGTTCACATGCACTGAGGAACAGTCACTCATTAGCTGGCCAATGAACTCTGCCCTATTGGGCTGCCTGAGAGTACAGTTATGTGATGCCCATGCTCTCAGCTGTGCTTACAGGCCAGTCTAATCTTGTTCTAAAGAAAAGCAATGAGTTAGGAGTTGTTCTTTGTTTTACCAAAGCTTTCCATGTGTACTTTTGTACTTCTGGAAACTGAACTCTTATTTCTCTCTCTCTCTCTCTCTCTCTCTCTCTCTCTCTCTCTCTCTCTCTTTCCCTCTCTCCTCTCATTAGCTGGCCAATGAACTCTGCCCTATTGGGCTGCCTGAGAGTACAGTTATGTGATGCCCATGCTCTCAGCTGTGCTTACAGGCCAGTCTAATCTTGTTCTAAAGAAAAGCAATGAGTTAGGAGTTGTTCTTTGTTTTACCAAAGCTTTCCATGTGTACTTTTGTACTTCTGGAAACTGAACTCTTATTTCTCTCTCTCTCTCTCCTCTCTCTCTCTCTCTCTCTCTCTCTCTCTTTCCCTCTCTCCCTCTCTCCCTCTCTCTCACTTGGGTTTGAACTCAGGGCCTTATGCTTCATAGGTAGGCACTCTACCACTTGAGCCATACCCCAGCCCCTTGATCTTCTCTAGAATAATTAATCCACTGCTCTTAAGTACCGTGGTCTGTAAACCCAGGGTAAAAGAATTGTTCATGTAGTTCACTTTTGCATATTAATGTCTTAATCAGGCCAGGTGCAGTGGTGCACTATAGTCCAGCACCCAGGAATTCAAGACCAGCCTGGACAACATAGTGAGACCCTGTCCTCACCCCCCAAAAGAAGTCATAATGAGAAACAATTATTGATGTCTGTGTTTTCAGAAATTGTAGTTTCTTCTTTTTACTCAAGCAACTTTTTATTTCTTTTTCATAAAAAGCCTGACTTGATTGGGCCTTTTCGAGGTCAGAAGAACTTTGAACAACATCCTTCTTATTTTATGTGCTAGAAATTAATGTATTGGAAAGACAAAGACTTTTGCTACTGTTAATTGGCTTACAAAGTACTTTCAAAAGGCATGAATTGTTCAAGAACAAAATCTGATTTCATTTATGCATCTGAATGTCTATCACTGTGATGACTGCTTTTAAAAGAAAATAGAACTAATGCCATTTTGAAGCCTCATTATAAGTATGAAAATATTTTGACCGTGTAAATATTAGATAGTTAAATAGGTGTTATATATGAGTATAGTTTAATATTTTGCTATATGTAAACTGCCATGTTTTAAAGTTAAACTTGAGTAAATAAATGAGAAAAAGCATTAATGTTAAATGTTTTGGACCTATAAAAGTAAATACAGACCTTTTCTGAGTAAGTCTTTTCCTTTATCATTGTTTAATTTCTTCCTTTTTTTTTTTGTTTTTTAGGTTTGCAATTTTTTTTGGTGATGGCATGTTCAGAATCTTGGATCCCTAAGTTGAATATGTTGGAAATTTTTAGGACTCTTGGAAATTATGTGGTGTTTGTACATACCCCGACTATCTAGGTAAATTAGTAGGCTTAAATAAAAGTATAAAAAAACTTTATGCTTCTAAGTTGGCGGGTATATCTCAGGTCGTCAGTATCGGTATGGGATCTGGAGACAGACGCCTTTTGAAGGTTTTGGGTTCTTAGGGACCTCTTGTTTTCCCAGACAGTGTGTGTAATTCCTCCCATGCCTGTCTGGTTAGCTTCTTTTCTAGCTACCTTGCAGTGTAAGTTACTTAGAGCAGAGATAATTATTGATCAGGAATAAAGAAGAATAAAGAAGAGGAAAAAAAATCATTAAGCTACAGTCTTAAATTCAGTAATTGCAAAGTTTCAACCTGGAAATGGTTTCAGAATGGACTGTTATTAGAATATGCAAATTCCACCCAAATTACATGCAGATGCACTTGTGGCAAAATGCTGCCAGTTTTCAAAATTAGGCATTATTATGTAGGACAGAAGTGCTAATGAGGAGGGAAAAGAGCTGTTGACTTTCACCTCCTCCCCCTCTCCCTCTTTCTTTTTGGGTGAATGAATTGATGGAAAATAAAGTGGCCAGAGGGTAGGCAGTGTGAGTGAAGAGGAGGAAAAACCTCAGTTTCCAGGAAGGATTTGTTTCTCTTAAAAAAAAAAAAAAAAATCAAAAGTTGGCTGCCTTCCATGCACCTGCTCACTTGCCAGTTGTGGACTATTCTCACGTAGACCAGAAATGCAGGCAAGGGTGTTTGTGGTCATGGCTGGTATTGGATTAAGTCAAGCCATGGTGCCATAATTGGTGGTTGTCTTTGGCCAACCTTGCTGGTTCCTGCTGGGATTAAGAGACCTGAGGAACATTCTGGGCATAGTTATTTTGATGGTCAGTATTATGACTGCTTCCCCACTCTTTTGACCCAAACTGGGGAAGACTGATTTTTAAGACAACAGCCAGAACAACTTGGGAAAGGATCAAAGGGGAAAGATGAAAGGAATGCAGGGAACTGTAGAGACAGAGTTAGGGAGGCACAAGAGAATGTCCATGTGGGAGTTTATTACAAGTTTATTACTGGTAGGCCTGTCCGTCCAGTGCTCTGAAGTTAGTATGCATCTTCAGCAGAAGTTTCCATTTGACTTGTATTAGACGGCTTTTAGAATCTGAGCGGTTCCCCGTTACTCTTGCCTCCTTTTTTGTTTTGTTTCTTACAAGAAGAATTGACTTTTTTTTTGGAGGGGTGGTGTTGGGATTGGGGATTGAATTTAGAGCTTTGGACTTGGAAAACAAGTGCTCTACTCCATTTGCCACACCTCCAGTCCATGTTTGATCTGGTTATTTTTGGAGATGGAGTCTCATGAACTATTTGCCCAAGCTGGCCTCAAACTGTGATCTTCCCAATCAATACAAGGTATTGACTCATATATTTAATAAAAGGCACGTTGAAAACATTAGCTTGTTTTAAAAATCAAATTACATTTTAATCTGAATGTTTGTTGCCTATTTGGCTATTTTCCGATTACAACTGGCTTTGAAAAACCTCTCCTTCTGTGATACTTTCGTCAATAGAGGTGTTTCCTCTTAGCCAATTCTAGCCACAGTATTGACTGGACCTAGGTATTTGATATACCCAGAAGGAATTAGCTAGGCAGGAAAAAACTTGTTCCCATTAGAATGAATATTTTAAAGGCCTTCTTAGATTCTAAAAACTGAGTACAAATCAAAGAGATCCAAGAAAGGGAACAACTTAAGAGCCTAACACTAAAAAGTGAGGCTAGACTGGGGAAGGGAGGTACCTCCCTGTGGGTGAGGCAGTGGCATCTTATGTTATTTTGGGTAGCTCACACTCACTGCAGTACTAAGGGTAGCGATGTGGCCTGTGGAAATATTGATGCATTTCCTAACAGTGAGTTGACTTTGCTCTAGTATATTCTGAGTGGGTATACGACTCACAAATTAACTTAATTCCAGATAAGTGTCTTTAATGTTAGAGAACATATTATCAATGACGTTTTTGTCCCCATTGTATAACTTCAGAAAATAATGTAGAACATTGAGCACGATGGAGAGTTGAGGATGTGAGTAACAATCAAGCTGCTTCCTAGAAACGTCTAAATAAAACTTTAAATCTATTGTCAGATGTCACATTGGCCTTAGTTGTACTTACAAGAACATTTTAGTGTGGTCTTCTGGCAAGTCTCCCTTTCTGGGCCCCTGCCCTTCCTAGCCTGGCATACACCTGACTACAGAGACCTAGCAGAAACAGATCTGCGAGAGAAGCACCGTAAGTACATAGGGACCAGAGAAGGTGAGGTAAACTATGGCTCTTGGTTTGGGACATTTTACACAAACTCTGCCTAGAAGGCCTAAGAAAGCTGGGGCTCCTTCCCCACCCCACCCCCACCCCCAAAGACCGCACAGACTTCATGCTTGCACATAGCTTCTGCACGCGCAGGGACGGCTTCTAGCAAGTGTCAGGAAGCCCTGAACTAAGAGGTCTTCTTTGTTTTATTTCTGCCTTACTCCATCAGTGGCTCTGTCTCCATGGAAGCCTCTCCACGCAGAGGATACCTGCGCCACAGAGCAGTACTTCTAGTGACACCCAGTAGCACACTGGAAAAGTTCAGTAAAGTGTAAATGCTCAGAATGGAGCCCAAGGTGCTAGAGTGCTTGCGGAGGCAGCAGGGGTTTTAGCTCATAAGTGAATATTCATATCTGGATTTTGAAATGGGTGTACTTTTTTCTAACATTTTTAATTATGCAGGTTTTCTAAGTGTTACTTTTTCTCGTGTCTTCAGAATATCAAATTCGTGATGTAAAATGTGTACTTAAATTATAATAGTGACTGGAATTTTGGGATTCTGTTGTGACTTTTCAACTTACAGCACATTTTCAGGAATACTGTCAAGATTCTTTAGTCTTTTAGAGTTCCTGAATGTGTGATTATTTCTGAATTTTATTAATCTAAGATGAAAGAAGACTGTCTTCAGTTTGTATTTTGACACAGGATGGATGCCTTTGATTCCTTGTTAGAAATGTAGTTTGTTAATAAAGTCCATTTGAGCATCTCTAACCTCCATTGTGGACTCGGATCACCTGCTTGTGATGTCATTCACTGGAACTTTGCTGCACAGTACAGCTTCTCTGAAGGTCACCCTTGAAAAATCACGAAGTCTGAAGAAACTCTTAGACAAGTATTGGCAGGGTGACAACATAGCAAAGCATCTTAAGGCGGCTGCTGTTTGTGTGTGAGACAGAATGGGACTGTCATATACAAATTGGACCTGTAGACATAAAATACCTCATAAAATGTATTGTTGATGGAAGCAAAATGCAACTCTCACCTCTGAAACTTTTTTTTTTGGTGGTAGTACTGGGGTTTGAACTCAGGGCCTTGTGCTTGCTATGCAGGTTGCTTGAGCCACACCCCCAGTCTTTTTTGCTTTAGTGGTTTTTGGAATAGGGTCTCACATTTATTCCTGGGCAGACCTGGACCACAACCCTCCTATTTATGCTTCCTCTGTAGCTGGAATGATAGGTGTGTGTCACCACACCCAGTTATTGATTGAGATGGGGTTCTCATGAACTCCGCCCGCCCCCAGGACTGACCTCAAACCACGATCCTCCTGAGTAGCTGGGATTACAAGTATGAACTACTGTGTCCAGCTTAAAACATTTCTGTTAGTGTAGTTTGTGGTTAATGTCCTATAGTGTTAGAAGGGAGCCTGAATCAGTCATCTTGATTAAAAGTTAGATACATTTATTCAAGATTTGGAGGTTTTTTTTTTTTTTTTTTTACTTCCTTTTAGCTTATGGTGTTTGGGGCTTTTACAACATGTGCCTTACAATTTCACATCTGCAAAGAGAGTTCCTTGAGAGAGGAGCCCGAGTTGGTCCCTGCTTCAGGTAAATGTGCTCTGTGAGAAAACATTGAGCACAGGGGATACTAAAACGGCTTGAAGTCCTGTTAATCTATCCTGCTTATCCTTCCCAAGCAATTTCACTACATTTCCTGTCTAGCTCTTCTAACGATGCCCGATTCAGATCCTTCCTCTTAAGTCACAGTAGCAGTGTCACCACATGGTCATTCTTTGCCCCTCCCATTGTCCGCTTTTGCTCTGCTGAGGACTGGAGCCTTGCAGTTACCTTATTGTAAAATCAGAGTCTGATTGTCATCTTGCATGTCCATTTCTCTTCCTGTGGGGAGTAGAATCCTTCACGGCATCGCACCGTAAAAGTGGCCTTTCGTTATGCTCTTGGACATTTGCTCTGTGAGTGTTTCCTCTGAAATTTCCCTTCCCACTACTGCATTCTCTTGAGGCCAGGATGGACCCCAGCCTGCCTTGGGCACAGGACTACCTAGAGCTGATGTCTGTGGAAGCTTACTAGGGCCTAAGGTAGGTATCTATGTGTTTCCCTTGGTGCAGTAAAAACAAAATTCTGTGCAGAGAAAATGATCAAGGCAATGATTTTGAAGGCAAGGTTTGTCAAATATTAGACTAACTTTGTAGGCCCGCAGGACTCCACATGCAACTCACATTGACTGTCCAGGCAATTTTATAAACAAAAATAGAAGTATTTAAAAATTATCATATTGCACTGACATTAAAAATAAGATACTACTCAGGTTGGGTGTAGGGGCAGTGCTTGTGATGCCATCTATTCAGAAGGATCATAGGGTCAGCAGGGGCAAGAAGTTAGATTTCTACCTCAAAACATCAGCATGGTGTGGTGGAGCACATCTGTAATCCCACCTTCTGGGAAGGTGAAGGTAGGAGGATCATGGTCTGTGTGTAGACTGGAGCAAAAGCATGAGACCTTATCTGAAAAGCAAAGCAAAGCAAAATGCAAAGAGGTCCTGATTTCAAACCCCCTGTACTGGGGTGGGGGTGGGACACTATGCTGTTTTTTTTTTTGTTTGTTTGTTTGTTTTTAATGTAGTTTCAAAAACAAAACTTTTGTGTAAGAGGATATACTATATAAATTTTCTGACTCTTGCTGTACTAAAAACTGGATGGCCTAATTACTTAAAAA